TTTCCAACCCACTCATCACTTGCATTGAAGTCTTTTATACCTAATTGAATGGCAAGTTTACTTGCTGCAACTTTAAGCTCTTCAAATTATATTGCCATGCCAATTGTACGGTGCTGAATAAATCACTTATACACTGCAGCATCCAATTGTGGGCACTGACCAGCCATTACTGTTTTTCTCGAACATGCAGCACCAGAAGTAGCACACTCCTGTAGTCTGCGACTACAGGAGAATAGGACGATATGTAAAAGGGAAAGATCGACCTTTGAGGATCCCCCTAAATGGTACCAAACAGATGGAAGAAGTACTAAGGAATGCTAGAAAATTACAAAGTGATGAGGATGGGAAAGTGTGGTCGTTAAGACGAGATCTTTCAAAAGAAGATAGAGAGAAGTCGAAACTGAACCTCGCCGAGGCAAAACGTTTAAATGAGAGCAGGAATGAAGAAGAAATCAATTCTTTTTTCTACAAAGTGATAGGGGTAGGCAGGCCAGTAAAGTGGTACATAAAGACAAACCAACAAAATCATTAGAGAAAGGGGGAGTGAAAAATAAGAAGAGGGGGAACAAGTTCCTCAAGATTGCATACACCAACATAGATGGAGTAAGATCAAAGATACTGGAGTTAAGTGATATAATACAGCTGCAGACACCAGACATTGTTGCACTCATGGAGACAAAACTTGAAGATGCTATTTTAAATGAGGTCATATTCCCAAGGGGCTACTCAATTTGGAAACGGGACAGAAAAATCAGGAAAGGTGGTGGCGTTGCTGTGCTGGTGAAAGAACACCTAATGGTTAACGAAATAGTGACTGCCAATCCACAAGAAGTTGACATAATAGCACTAGAGATCTGCCATGAGGATGATAAACTAATGATCATAAATGCATATAGTCCACTGCTAAGCAGCACATGGTCAAAGGAGGAGCTAGATAGTAAACGAGAAGGTCTTATAACAGTAATGAGAGAGATCATAGCAAGAGTGGATAACGATAGTTCACGACTGTTGATAGTCGGCGACTTCAACTTGAAATCCATAGACTGGGAAGCATGTGAAGCTAAAACAGAAGATTTCTGGACCTGTAAATTTGTAGACCTCATCCTGGAAACATTCTTGTATCAACATGTTAAACAAGCTACGAGGATGAGGGAAGGGGACGTCCCCTCCATGCTAGATTTGATATTTACCAGAAAGGAGGAAGAAATATTTGACATTCAGTACTTTCCTCCCTTGGGTAAAAGTGACCATGTCTTTTGGGGAATAAAGTATGCAATGTGTTATAATCTGGAAGAAAATATGACGGTCGATGCAAATGAAAAACCTGACTTTAGGAGAGGACATTATGGCAACCTGAGAAAATTTTTTATAGTGAGTATAATTGGACAGACTTTTTGCTAGGCAAGGAAGTGAATGAGATGTATGTCAGGTTTTGTGAAATATATGATAAAGGCACAAAAAAAATTTATACCAAAACAGAGAAGCAGAACTAGGAAACAGGATTGGTTCAGCAGAAAGTGCGAGAGGGTCAGAGACCAAAAGACACAAAAATGGAATCAATACAGGAAGAGGCCGAACCCCCAAACATACCAGCGATACAAAGATGCGAGAAACAACTACACGGCAGTGAGGAGAGAGGCAGAAAGAAATTTTGAAAAAGGGATTGCAGACAAATAAAAAACAGAACCAGGTCTATTCTATAAATTCATAAACAACAAATTGCAGGTAACGGATAATATTCAGAGGTTGAAAATGGGAAATAGATTCACGGAAAATGAAAAGGAAATGTGTGAAACATTAAACGAAAAGTTCCAAAGTGTGTTTGTACAAAATGAAATCTTCAGGGAACCAGATACAATAAGAATTCCAGAGAACAACATAGAGCACATAGAGGTGTCTAGAGACGAAGTGGAAAAAATGCTCAAGGAGCTAAATAAGAACAAAGCAGTTGGTCCAGATGGAGTTTTACAATGGGTTCTGAGAGAATGTGCACCTGAGCTCAGCATTCCTCTTCAACTGATTTTTCAGGCATCCCTGTTTACAGGAGTTGTAGCTGATGTGTGGAAAAAGGCTAACATAGTTCCAATCTACAAAAGTGGAAGCAGGGAAGACCCCTTAATTATAGACCGGTTTCACTGACAAGTGTAATAGTCAAAATATTGGAAAAAATAATTAAATCTAAATGGGTAGAACACCTGGAGAGAAATGATATAATATCAGACAGACAGTATGGTTTTCGATCTGGAAGATCCTGTGTATCGAATTTACTCAGTTTCTATGATCGAGCAACAGAGATATTACAGGAAAGAGATGGTTGGGTTGACTGCATCTATCTGGACCTAAAAAAGGCTTTCGACAGAGTTCCACATAAGAGGTTGTTCTGGAAACTGGAAAATATTGGAGGAGTGACAGGTACCTTCTAACATGGATGAAAAATTTTCTGACCGATAGAAAAATGAGGACTGTGATCAGAGGCAATGTATCGAACTGGAGAAATGTCACAAGTGGAGTACCACAGGGTTCAGTTCTTGCACCAGTGATGTTTATTGTCTACATAAATGATCTACCAGTTGGTATATAGAATTATATGAACATGTTTGCTGATGATGCTAAGATAATAGGAAGGATAAGAAACTTAGATGATTGTCATGCCCTTCAAGAAGACCTGGACAAAATAAGTACATGGAGCACCACTTGGCAAATGGAATTTAATGTTAATAAATGCCATGTTATGGAATGTGGAATAGGAGAACATAGACCCCACACAACCTATATATTAAGTGAGAAATCTTTAAAGAATTCTGATAAAGAAAGAGATCTAGGGGTGGTTCTAGATAGAAAACTATCACCTGAGGACCACATAAAAAATATTGTGCGAGGAGCCTATGCCACGCTTTCTAACTTCAGAATTGCTTTTAAATACATGGATGGCGATATACTAAAGAAATTGTTCACGACTTTTGTGAGGCCAAAGCTAGAATATGCAGCAGTTGTGTGGTGCCCATATCTTAAGAAGCACATCAACAAACTGGAAAAGGTGCAAAGACATGCTACTAAGTGGCTCCCAGAACTGAAGGGCAAGAGCTATGAGGAGAGGTTAGAGGCATTAAATATGCCAAAACTAGAAGACAGGAGAAAAAGAGGTGATATGATCACTACATACAAAATAGTAACAGGAATTGATAAAATCGATAGGGAAGATTTCCTGAGACCTGGAACTTTAAGAACAAGAGGTCATAGATTTAAACTAGCTAAACACAGATGCCGAAGAAATATAAGAAAATTCACTTTCGCAAACAGAGCGGTAGACGGTTGGAACAAGTTAGGGGAGAAGGTGGTGGAGGCCAAGAACGTCAGTAGTTTCAAAGCGTTATATGACAAAGAGTGCTGGGAAGACGGGACACCACGAGCGTAGCTCTCATCCTGTAACTACACTTAGGTAATTACACTTAGGTAATTACTCTGTTGTGCTCTACTATTTTAATAGTGTATCCTTCTGTTTCTTGATGTCACTTACTATACTTTTGCTGATGTTAAACTGCTGCTGCTCGTGCATGAGAATATCCTTTATAGAGTTTCTTAATTAACTCCAGCTTTTGTGCAACCATCAGGCGCTTTCCTTGGGTAACTTTTGGCATTTTGTAAATAGAAATGAAGATCACAATTAATAGTAATGTCCTTCACAATTGAAGCTAGCCACGCGAGTTCACAGTAAACAATGGGAACACATGGCCCGGCGCAGTACATTCTAGGTCCGTAGGAAAAAAAAATACCTAGTGATTATACTATAAAAGGTATTTAATAAGAAAACAAAGAATTTTGCTTAATAACAACTGTTTCAAAATATTTTATTAACACTAATTTAGAATTTTCTTCTTTAACCCTTCAATAGCGCATCGCATCATATGATGCTTTGACCGACTTGCAGTAAATTGAGCATCGCATCATGTGATGCTTTGGAGTACTACGCAAGATTTAAACGGCCCACGGATACACGGGGTTCACCACACCTTCATCAGGGCTCTTGTAAACAGACGCTATTTAAAAAAAAAATCGTGGGCCAAACTCCAGGGTGTTAGGGGCCTCAGTATTGAGTGAGAATGTGGGTGAGTCAGGTGACTTGAGGGTGGGCGTGAGTGGCTGGCTGGTACACGGCGGTCACTCCTCGTTACTTTTTGACAAATAATAGCAACTTAGTGGTTCGTTATGGTGAACAAAACATGCAGATACTTATATATAACCTGTGTATATAGTGTAATAACCGACAAAGTATTTGTTCACTGTTTGATGAACATAATTGAATCAACAATATGCACACCATATTTTTGAGTACAGCGATGATTCACTCATTTTATTATATAAATATATCACACTACACACTATTGAATAATATTACAGCAAAAAAACTACGAAAAATCAATCAGAGACATTGAAATAATTAAGTAATTATCTCTTTGTGACAACTCCGGCCTGACAGCTGGCAATCAACAGACCGCCTGAGACGCAAGCTGAGTCAGCGCCTATTTTTTGCCAGAATTCCCCGCCCTATAGTGGGCAATATATGCCACCTACGATTTTTTTATTATTTTTCCCGTGATCAGTGAACACAAATTAACAGGTTAGGAAGAAAAAATATATATATATTTTTTTTTTTTTTTTGTATGCGCCTGTGGGTGTCAAATGGTATATAGCTATGCGCCATTTAAGGGTTAAACTGAATCATTTTAAAAGAAAGTTAAGATGTAATATACGACTCTGGACGAACGAGGTCGGTGGCCTGGTTGCCATGTGAGGGGACGCCGATGCCAAAACAAACCCAATACCGACTGTCGGTAATATTGACCGCCAGGCCGGTATACGAGGTTCCAGATATCGATCTCCCAAACCGGTCATTATTACCAGCAGATCGGAATAATAGAGGCCGTTAAATTGAGCGGATACTTATATTTCTATTACACCCATCTATTACACCTATCTACTTCCAAAGTTTGTACACCTACCATGTCAGCGATGTTCTCGGCAGTGATGAAGTTGCCCACGGCATAGGAGAGGCCATAACCAAAGTACACTCCCCAGTTGAATATTCCGAGAGCCAAAGCACGACGAGACTGCACAGAAAAAATGCAATCATAATATACATACTATGTTTATGGTAGAAGTAAGTACTGATCAGCATCTTACAAGAAAGCAAAATTACAAGGTAATGAAAATTATAATAATAATCATTTTTTCATGTTGTTCATCTCATTATTCATAGTCATATAAATAACAGAAAATAATCTGTTATTTCCTCATGTTTACCAGATCAGATTTTTATCTAAATACTGTAGATGTAAGCATCAAAATACACGATAAAATTACAGTACCTCAGGGAACATATCAGAGATCATACTACTGCAGGCTGGGGTGAAGGCAGACTCCCTGTGAACAGGAAAATAACAAAGTGACCGGCTATCATAGAGTCACATGAGCTATAAATAACTTTTCAACTTTTCTAAAAGTAGCCTTATTATAAGAGGCAAATAATATAAACTGATTCTTGATAAAATGTTTTAGATATTCTACTCTTGTAAAAGGCAACAGATAAAGAATAAGTTCTGGATACTGTACTTCCACAAAACAACATATTAGACATATTAGAGATAAGTTTATATTCACCAGGAACTGTAGCTCTTAGTTGCACATACACTTACGCATTTATTTTAATGATGAACTCTTTCAAAATTGGAGTATACTTAAAGATTTTGAAAGAAAGATGAAAGTGGCCTAAATAATCTACTTGAATGGGGTTTTGGGAGTTTTTTTTTACTCCACAAGCCCAGCCTGGGGCTAGGCATGAGTTTTAAGAGCTTGATCCCACTGGCTATTGCTTGGAGTAGCCCCCCCCCCCCAGGCCCACATTTCTAGTACTGCCCAGTTGGTCTGTTACTTTTTACAGAAAACAGTTCAGTTTTTTCTTGAAGACTTCCACTTTTGTTTTGGTAATATTTCTTATACCTGCTGGGAAATATTGAACAACCATTGATCTCTGATGTTCATACAGTGTTCCCTGATTGTGTCTATGACATCTTTCCTTTACACTTGCTTTGTTCTGCAAAGACCATCCTGTGGTCTACACTTGTGCTCATGATGTGAGGAAATACAGTATGGTGATCTTACTGCTGTCTTTGGTAATATATCTTAGGTCAACATTCGGTTGTGGGGGTTTTGCAGGTCGTAAAGGGTACTGGCCACTAGGTATCTCGTGAACATCCCGGGACCTCTCTGACCTTATGTTGCACTGGGAAGACTGTCACAGCAGTCAGTTTCTTCTTCGACTTGAGACCAGTGGTGCTACCGCCTCCCGGGTAAGTCTTTGTTTTTAACTTATCTGGGGTAGTTAGCTTCAGACGGGACTCCCCACAGAAAAGCAGCATTAACCACTTAACTGCGCCAACCGAGTATTCTCAGTCGACGGGAAACTGCGCCAACCGAGAAAACTCGTTTTGATTTTTCGGTACCAATTCTAAATGTGTACAAGGTTAGTTGTGTACGAAATGGACTCTTAGGACCTCCAGTGAGAGGCAGCATCTTGGAAAAAATTCCCAGAATTCCCTAGGGCTGCTGGCTGGGTTAGTACTGAATGAGCAACCAAGGGAGGCGCACGCGCATCTGGCTCCCAAACACCTGTCCGACGCGGTGTTGAAAGATAACGCTCTGTCAATGAAATTCAAACCTTATTGTTTGAAGAACATAAGGGTCATAATATTGGTGAAGCTAGGAGCAGTAAGGACCTAACACAAAGGTCGGATGCAAGTGATACAGAACCTATGAGGACGATACAGCGAGAGTATCCAGTTGTAGCTCTGAGCATCACCCTTGCAATCCTATGCTATCTCCAATTTATTTAGGTGATACATAGATGAATTGATTTCTGCATTCAGTGATGATGCATCTGATACAAGAAGCATAGATGAACAGTGTTAGCGGCTTTCATGGTGGTGTTTTCCAAAGATATTTTCAAGAATACCTGAATCTCTTCCTAACTGACAGACACTCTTTGAGGCAAGCTGAATCTCTCCCTGTGTGGGACCATACAAAACGATCTTATCAACACTACCTTACAAATTGGTCTTTTCCTATAATCTTTTCAATACTACCTTATGTTTTACAAGCTTGGCTACATACAACCTACAAGTACTAAAGCCAAGGGTGTACATGAGTGTGTTATTTGCAAGCACACAGAATGAAGAAACAGGAAGCAAAAATTTATCTGTACCTGGAGCACTGAGAGCAAAGTCGCGCTGTGTACCATGGGCTACTTCGTTGATTATTACTCACTTCTGAAGTACTGAGTAATTACCTAAGTGTAGTTACAGGATGAGAGCTACGCTCGTGGTGTCCCGTCTTCCCAGCACTCTTTGTCATATAACGCTTTGAAACTACTGACGGTCTTGGCCTCCACTACCTTCTCACTTAACTTGTTCCAACCGCCTACCACTCTATTTGCGAAGGTGAATTTTCTTATATTTCTTCGGCATCTGTGTTTTGCTAGTTTAAATCTATGACCTCTTGTTCTCGAAGTGCCAGGTCTCAGGAAATCTTCCCTGTCGATTTTATCAATTCCTGTTACTATTTTGTACGTAGTGATCATATCACCTCTTTTTCTTCTGTCTTCTAGTTTTGGCATATTTAATGCATTTAACCTCTCCTCGTAGCTCTTGCCCTTCAGTTCTGGGAGCCACTTATTAGCATGGCTTTGCACCTTTTCCAGTTTGTTGATGTGCTTCTTAAGATATGGGCACCCACACAACAGCTGCATATTCTAGCTTTGGCCTAAGAAAAGTCATGAACATTTCTTTAGTATATTGCCATCCATGTATTTAAATGCAATTCTGAAGTTAGAAAGCATAGCATAGACTCCTTGCACAATATTCTTTATGTGGTCCTCAGGTGATAGTTTTTTATCTAGAACCACCCCTAGATCTCTTTCTTTATCAGAATTCTTTAAAGATTTCTCACATAATATATAGGTTGTGTGGGGTCTATGTTCTCCTATTCCACATTCCATAACATGACTTTTATTAACATTAAATTCCATTTGCCAAGTGGTGCTCCATATACTTATTTTGTCCAGGTCTTCTTGAAGGGCATGACAATCATCTAAATTTCTAACCTTCCTATTATCTTAGCATCATCAGCAAACATGTTCATATAATTCTGTATACCAACTGGTAGATCATTTATGTAGACAATAAACATCACTGGTGCAAGAACTGAACCCTGTGGTACTCCACTTGTGACATTTCTCCATTCCGATACATTGCCTCTGATCACTGCCCTCATTTTTCTATCAGTCAGAAAATTTTTCATCCATGATAGAAGCTTACCTGTCACCCCTCCAATATTTTCCAGTTTCCAGAACAACCTCTTATGTGGAACTCTGTCGAAAGCCTTTTTTAGGTCCAGATAGATGCAGTCAACCCAACCATCTCTTTCCTGTAATATCTCTGTGGCTCGATCATAGAAACTGAGTAAATTCCATACACAGGATCTTCCAGATCGAAAACCATACTGTCTGCCTGATATTATATCATTTCTCTCCAGGTGTTCTACCCATTTAGTTTTGATTAGTTTTTCCAATACTTTTACTATTACACTTGTCAATGATACAGGTCTATAATTGAGGGGGTCTTCCCTGCTGCCACTTTTGTAGATTGGAACTATGTTAGCCTGTTTCCACACGTCTGCTACGATTCCTGTACACAGGGATGCCTGAAAGATCAGGTGAAGTGGAATGCTGAGCTCAGATGCACATTCTCTCAGAACCCATGGTGAAACGCCATCTGGGCCAGCTCCTTTGTTCTTACCGAGCTTCTTTAGCATATTTTCCACTTCATCTCTAGACACCTCTATCCGCTCTATGTTGTTCTCTGGAATTCTTATTGTGTCTGGTTCTCTGAAGATTTCATTTTGTACAAACACACTTTGGAACTTTTCATTTAATGTTTCACACATTTTCTTTTCATTTTCCGTGAATCTGTTTGCCATTTTCAACCTATGGATATTATCCTTTACCTGCAATTTGTTGTTTATGAATTTGTAGAATAGGCCCGGTTCTGTTTTACATTTATCCGCTATCCCTTTTTCAAAATTTCTTTCAGCCTCTCTCCTTACTGCTGTATAGTTGTTTCTCGCATCTTTGTATCGCTGGTATGTTTGGGGGTTTGGCCTCTTCCTATACTGATTCCATTTTTGTGTCTTTTGGTCTCTTGCCCTCTCACAATTTCTGTCGAACCAATCCTGTTTTCTGGCCCTGCATCTCTGTTTTGGTATGAATGTTTGTGTGCCTTCCTCGTATATTTTTAAAAATTTGGCATACATTTCATTTACTTCCCTGCCTAGCAACAATTCTGTCCAATTACACTCATTAAAAAAATTTTGAAGTTCCCCATAGTTGCCTCTCCTTAAATCGAGTTTATCAACTGTTTCAATGTCCCCATTTTCTTCTAGATGATATCTTAAAGCATAATCAATGTCTAACAGGACGTGATAACTCTTTCCCAAGGGAGGAAGGTACTGGATGTCAAATATCTCTTCTTCTTTCCTGGTGAATATTAGATCCAGTACTGACGGTACATCTCCTTCCCTCATTCTTGTGGCCTGCTTTATGTGTTGATACAAGAATGTCTCCAAAATGAGGTTCACAAATCTGCATGTCCAAAAGTCCTCCGTTCTTGCTTCATAGGCCTCCCAGTCTATTGCTTTAAAGTTGAAGTCCCCCAGTATCAACAGTTGTGATTTATCTTTATCTGTGCAATAATATCTCTTATGACCATTATGAGGCCCTCTCGTTTGTCATCTAGTTCTTCCTTTGTCCATGTGTTGCTTGCTGGTGGGCTGTAGGCATTTAAAATTATCAGCTTGTCATCCTGATTCCAGATCTGCAATGCCATTATGTCAATATCTCGAGGATTTTCAAATATTAACTCTCTTACCTTCAGGTGTTTTTTCACCAGTACAGCCACTCCTCCTCCCTTCCTAGTTTTCCTATCACATCTCCAAACTGAATAGCCTCTTGGAAATATGACTTTATTTATTATATTTCCTTCAAGTTTCGTCTCTGATAATGCAACAATATCTGGGACCATAAGCTGGATTATATCTTGCAACTCCAAAGTTTTTGATCTCACTCCATCTATGTTGGTATATACAATTTTCAAGAACATGTTCCCTTTTCCTTTGCTCTTTACTCCCCCTTCCACTACTGATCTTGTTGCTTTGTTTTTATGTACCATTTCACAAGCTTTCCAGTCCCTGTCACTTTGTAGAAAAAAGAATTTCTGTCTTCTTCATTTCTATCCCCATTTAGATGTTTTGCCTCAATTAGGTTTATTTTCAGCTTTTCTCTGTCTTCCTTGGAGAGGTCTTGTCTTATTGACCAAAGTGTGCCAACCTCATCACTCTGCAATTTCCTGGCATTTCTTAGCACTTCCATCATGTTTTTCACTCCATTAAACGTCACCCTTAAGGGGCGGTTCTGGTCTTTCTCATATTTTCCTATCCTTCTAAAATCACAGACATTTTCCTTTGTACCTTCTCCTAAACCTACTATTTTCTCAATGATTTTCATCTCTTCTGCTGCTCTGTCCACCCTAGATGAAATTTCCTTCTCTAAACATTCAAAAATGATTATGGACTTAGTTCTATCTGCAGTGTTTTGTACTAGTTTACTGTTGGTAACCAGTTCTTTCCTAATTACTTGCCTAATTTCTGCTTCTTGTTGGTCATTTCTGGTTTTGACTACCGAACACACTTCTTTGATAGTCTCTTTCTCTGTTACAACTTGAGCATATGTCGCTTTTATTTCTTCTTTATACTTTTCTAGTTCTTTATTCACTTCCTCTATGTGAGTTATCAGTGAAGTTTTCCAGTTGGAGATCCTTACCTAACTCTATGTTAGCCCTTAGGCTCACGAACAAACTAACATTAAACATCGAAAAGACTTACTACATCTTATTTGGAAGCAAATCATCAAATGCAATTCAGCTACAGATAGACAACATTAACATCAGTAATAAAAATGATGGCAAGTTTCTTGGCCTATTCCTAGACAAGAGACTCAACTTCAGCACCCACATTCAACACATAACTAAGAAAGTCTCTAAGACAGTTGGTATACTCTCCAAAATCAGATATTATGTTCCTAACTCTGCTCTCCTCTCACTATATTATGCACTAATCTACCCCTATCTTAATTATGGTATCTGTGCATGGGGGTCTACCACTGCAAACCACCTTAAGCCCATCATCACACAGCAAAAATCTGCTATCAGAATAATAACTAACTCTGCTTTCAGACAACACTCAGCTCCCTTGTTTAAATCTCTAAACTTGCTAAATATTAACTCCCTCCACACATTCTCTTGTGTCAACTACATTTACAAAACCCTGTTCTTAAATGCAAACCATGCTCTGAAACTCTCCCTGGACAGATGTAATAGGACCCATTATCACCACACCAGAAATAAATATCTCTTTGATATCCCCAGGGTCAAACTTAATCTGTGTAAACACTCTATGCAAATTAAGGGACCTAGTCTATGGAACTCACTCCCTAGTGAATTGAAAAACTGTAAAACTTTTGCCTTATTTAAAAGCAAAACCAAAAAGTACCTAACTTCATCTATTTAGTTTCCTACACTGAGCTTTAAATTTGCTCTGTACCTAGTGGTACCCAATCTCCTAATTTTTATGTAATATCAAACAACCTTATCATTGTGTTCATTGCTGTCTTCTTTTATGTGCTAGCCATATGCTGTATTGTGACTACCAATTTTTGTCAACTACCATTCAAGCTGTCATTGCAATCAATCTTATATTGTTTCTGCTGTATTGTGCCTACCAATTTGTTGTCAACTACCATTTTAAGCTGTCATTGCAATCAATCATAGCTACCTATGTGCTTTAATATACTGTACCTATAATTTTCTCTCATCTTTTTTTTTTTCATTCCATGTAATCTGTTATCATTTTTTTGTCTATAAATTTTGCAAGTATTTACCTCCTTAAAATTTTCTTAGATTAAGGACCTGCCCGAAACGCTGCGCGTGCTAGTGGCTTTACAAGACTGTAATTACCATAATTGTATCCTCACATTCCTTATGTACATTCTTGTATATGCATAAATAAATAAATAAATAAAATAAATAAATAAACTTGGAGTTGTTCACCATATGAGTCTATTTTCTTGTTTATTTCTTCAACGTCACCACACTTCATTTTCCACTCCTCATTTTCTTTCACTAGTTCCTTGATTTGATCCTCCTGATTTGTTACCTTGTCTGTTAATGCAGTAATAATCTTACCTTGCTTAAACATACTCCCTTTGAGAGTGCAAAGCTCACTCCTAAGAGCTCCATTGTCCTCTTCCAATTTAAGCACTTTTTCTTCATACTTCTTTTGCATATCTTCAATTATCTCTAACCTGCCAAGAACACCTCCTTTCCTTATATCTTGTGATGAGAATCCTTTGAAACCATCATCTGTTGGTGTGTCTACATTCTCAGTGGGGATGGTGGCGGCGGCCATCTTTGTTTTTGGGGTCCGTCTAATTACCACAAGCTACCACAAGCTACACAAGCTTCAGAAAGCTTCCTGGCAATACGTTAGTAATGAATAAATATGATATGTTAGGTTAGGCTGACCTAACCTAACCTAACCTAACCTAACCTAACCTAACCTAACCTATCCTAACCTATCCTAACCTAACCTAACTTAACTAAACCAAACCTAACCTAACCGACGCTTGGATTGTCGACTTGATTTGGCGTCACCAGCTTTTTATTTTTGCCTAATTTCTTTATAAAAAGATACTTTTCCAGATTAAAATTATGTTTTTTCGTGTTGTACATTCAGCACCAACATTATAATGAGTAAATATATCATATTTATTCATTATTAACGTATTGCCAGGAAGCTTTCTGAAGCTTGTGTAGTTTGTGGTAATTAGACGGACCGTTGATTTTGTTCTATAACCAAAACAAACTTTTCCACTCAGCTATTTTCACTCACTTCTACTTGTTTATTGTATTTTATTTGCTTTTACACTTCCCTGAACCTTTATGTAACCTGGAACACCACTGTAGCCCTTAACCTGTTCCCAATACTTAGGTAATTCGATATTTCCAGGAGCTTGCTGCAGTGTGACTCCTGCCTCCTCCAGCTCACAGTCACAGTCACAGAGTGTGTAATACAGTGTGTTACTGTGTAAATAGTGTGTGAAATTGTACATATTGTAATTTTAGTGAATTTTTAACAGAAAATAATGCGACAATAAACATTTATTGTGGACACATTACTGACACATGTATCACAGTTCCATGGAACATTATGAAAGTTCTACTGTATACATATTGTAGAGAACACAAATATGCATCATATACAATAAAAAACAAATAAAACCACATTGGAAATACATAAAACAAATAATGAAAATATATTTGTGGCAACACCCGGTGCTTGAATGGCCCGCGTGACCGTGTCTGGGCGATTCACGCATGGGCGACCAGGCCCTGATGACGTCACAGTGCACATTGTCCACGTCCTCACAGCCAAAGTAAATGGAATTTGGTATTTATTTTTACACAGACATGTTCAGGGAAGGGAATTTATCATTTTACGAAGAAAAAAGATTTTTGGGGGGAACACTTTATTTCATGTGCACAGGGGGAATTTAACAATAAACTCGGCACAGCATGGTGGTTAAACACTATGAATGTGTGGATATAAATATAAATGCAGTAAAAAATTCCAAAATATAATTTTGTTAATAAAATTTTTTAATGTTATTTGAAGATTTATTTGGCTGAAACTTTGACATTTATTACACATCCCCCACCAATAGCTTACACAAGTTAAAATATATTGGATAAATTCACTGTGACCAGAACTTTGGAATTAAATTTTTTTTTTTTTTTAAAGTCTAGCTTGCGGCCCAATTTCTGAGCAATTCTTATCAATCCTACATGTACAATGTTTCCAACTCTACAGATCTTATGATCCAGAATTTTAATTAACCTAGATATTTAAGAGTTATGATTTATCAAATGTGCTCATGTTAAATTTTGGGTTATCTTGAGAAGATTTCGGGGCTTAGCATCTCCGCGGCCCGGTCCTCGACCATGCCTCCTTGTTACACACACCCCAGGAAGCAGCCCGTAGCAGCTGTCTAACTCCCAGGTACCTATTTACTGCTAGGTAACAGGGGCATCTGGATGAAAAAAACATTTTGCCCATTTGTCTCTGCCTCCACCGGGGATCGAACCTGGGACCTCAGGACTACAAATCCGAAGCGCTGTCCACCCAGCTGTCAGGTGCTCATAATTTTTTTTTTCACATCAGCTAGATACATACTAAAAAAAAATTAAACATAAGAAATCAAGATGAGATGCTATTATGATAGCTATTAGATATTATTAGATAGATATTATGAAATTGGCTAAAATTTGTATTTGTTTTTTATTTTTTAAAATGTTGGAAACTTTAAACTTTTTTCTCTCTTTTTGTATTTATCTTACAAAACTGAAACTTTTATCAGTTTGAGACCTGACTAATACAGTTTTGTCAAAAAAGGTTAATTGAAATTAACGAATAAATAATTTTTTATTTATTAATTCTTTACTTGCCCCCTAAAAGAGAGGAGAGAGAAGGACAAGGAGACTGCAGCAACTTAGACCATTACTCACCCAGCGCCCATGATCATTCTCAGGATGACCAGCTGCCAGTAGGCCATGGCAGCTCCTGTCAGCCCCGTCGCCAGAGTGAGTGCCATGCAGCACACCAGTACAACCAACTTCCTGTGGCACACACAAACATGTTAGCCAGATTCAGATACAGTCATTGGGAAGTATCAGTTGTGGGTGTCAGCAAATGTCAGGTGTGGGGTGTTTGCATATATCAGGTGTGGGTGTTGAAAATGACCAGGTAATGGTGTTTGCCAGTGTCAGGTGTGGGCATTGGCAGATGTCAGGTGTGAGTGTTATAGAGTCAGGTAATTGCCTAAGTGTAATTACCTAAGTGTAGTTACAGGATTAGAGCTACGCTCGTTGTGTCCTGTCTTCCCAGCAATCATTGTAATACAGTAGTACCTCAATTTACGAATTTAATCTGTTCCCAGAGAAAAGTTGTAAGTCGAAAATTGGTAACTCGAAACAAATTTTCCCATAAAAAATAATGTAAATTAAATTAATCCATGCCACTCCCGCAAAAATATTAAATTAAGAATACATTTCATACAGAATAGCACTCTTTTTATACTAGCTACAATACAGTATGTATATCGAACCTTTACTGAGGACTCTTGTTGGCATATGGAAGACGGTGAGAAGGGGGGTGGAGGAGAGGTGAAACTTTTTGGGAAGGGAGTCCCCTTCCATTATAACATCAGGCAGTAATGACGTCTCTGGAGCACTCTCTCTCTCTCTCTCTCTCTCTCTCTTACATTTTGCAGGCATACCACTAGGACTTGGTTGTGGCTCACCACTTGCTTGTCCTACTAAGAATCTGTCTAAAGACACTTGTTTCTGGGGGGAAGCCACGTCAGCTCCCCGGAGCTATACCAGGCTGATATGCTAATGTTAGACTTTGGCATCAGTCATGTGTATGGAGTTCATAGGGCCTACCAGGGACCACGGCCAGAACCTGGCCCCCTCAGAGAGGCAAGGGGAGCAATGGCCTATAGAAACCTCTGTGTGGTTGAAAGCAGTCTATGTCTGCCATCAACCGGGTCAAGCATCCAGAAAGGTAAGCGTCCCAAAACAAACCCCTATTCTGGTTAAAATTGCTACCAAAAGCCGAACTAGTGGATAGAACTCCCCAACAGAAAACAAGTAAACTAGTATGATGTCACATCACCGCGCCGCTGTCTGCGCAGCTCCCCCCTCCCTAGGAGGGGGAAGGGGGAGCCCCCGGACCTCTCATGCCGGCTATCCACCCATCAATTCTTCGGCTGATGCTAAAGGCACCGGTTGTGTGCTGCGGCTCCAATAGTTGTTTCAGCATTGTACCTAGAGTGTGGTGTCTGTCTTCTAGGTGGTGCGTGAGCCAGGAGGGAGTCTCCAGTACTCAGGCTGCATGCGCCTAGGGGTTACCTTCCCTAGGTGCCCTCTAAGTACTGCCCTTGGGGCTTGGGGTTACCTTCCACAAGTTCCTTGGGTACTGCTTGGTTACCTTCCCTAGGTGCCCTGTAAGTACTGCCCTTGGGGGTTGGGGTTACCTTCCACAAGTTCCTTGGGTACTGCTTCTGCTAGGCTGTTTACTGTTTGGTTTTCGGCTGCCCTTTGTGTGCTTTGGGATTAATCTGTCTCCCTTGTTCGCCTTCGGGTAAGGGGCAGTTTGCACTGGTAGGGGCACAAGGTACGGCGCAGCTTGTTTTCACCAATCATAGCGGCCGGCTCTGTTCCGCCTGGGTACACTGTCTTCTTGCAGGGTTTTCTGTTTCTTTTTGTTTGTTTGCCTGATGGGGGGGGGGGATCTGCCTTTGGTTCTTGCCCCCTTTGTACTGGGTTCTCATCCTTCTTCTGGTGGTTCCCCCTGCTAGGTCCCCGTGAGTGTACACGTCCCGGAGGTTCAGTTCTTAGAAAGTTGTTTGGTAGACTTGGGCGCCGGTTTGCAGTACCCTGCCTGGGATTATCTGAGCACAAGTATTTTTATAGTAAACATCGGGCCCACGCTCCCCCTGGGAATCCCCTAGGGGGAGCGTGGGCCCGATGGATGTGGCCCCGGAGTCCCCCCCTAGCTTTGTGGGAGTTCGAGGGTTGCTCTGTCTCCTTGTCTCAGGGTGACTCTCCCTGTTTTACCTCCGTCTGCTGCCTGTGGGGTGGGTGACACCATCGGCCCTGAGTCCTGTGAGTTTTGTTGCTTGTTTGTGACTCGGTTACCTAGTCTTATGCTGACTATGTGGGTGCAGGCAGCACGGGCGTTGCACGTTACGTTTCGGTGGCAATGCGCTAGGTTGTTTGCTCCCCGGAAGCCCCGAGGCTGCCCTGTTTTAGTTGGTGGTCTTGTCGGGTCTCCTCCCCCCCCCCTTCCTCCCTGCATCCGGGTCCTTACTGTCTGTGGGTTCGGGGTCGGGGTGGGGCTTACATAGTTTTGAGACTTGGTTGGTCTCAAGGAATTCCCCTTCCGGGGTAGTGACGGGGGCATTCGAGCCTGTTCCTCCAGCTATGTTGTATGAGTTTGCCAGTGGGCTCACTTCCTTAGTGATTTTTACGGCTGCCCCGGTTTTTTCTTGTGAAGCTGGGGCTTTGGGGGGACAGCTCAGCCCCGGGGCCTGCTGTGTGGGTTCCCGGGGCTGGGGTGAGGCTGACATTGGGGCCTCAGGCCCCGTTGGACCCCGCCGGGGTTTTTCTACCCTCTGGGCAGGGCTTGCGGTTACGTGGAGTGGGGTTTTTCCTTCCCCACTCGGAAATGGACTCTTAGGACCTCCAGTGAGAGGCAGCCATCTTGGAAAAAATTCCCAGAATGCCCTAGGTCTGCTGGCTGGATTAATACTGAATGAGCAACCATGGGTGGCGCATGCGCCTCTGGCTCCCAAACACCTGTCTGACGCGGTGTTGAAAAATAACGCTCTGTCGGTGAAATTCAAACCTTATTGTTTGAAGAACATAAGGGTCATAATATTGGTGAAACTAGGCACAATAAAGACCTAACACAAAGGTCGGATGCAAGTGATACAGCACCTATGAGGACAATACAGCAAGCGTATCCAGTTGTAGCTCTGACCATCACCCTTGCAATACTATGCTATCTACAATTTATTTAGATGATACATAGATGAATCATTTTCTGCATTCAGTGATGATGCATCTGATACAAATAGCATAGATGAACAGTGTTAGCAGCTTCCATGGTGGTGTTTTCCATAGATATTTTCAAGAATGCCTGAATCTCTTCCTAACTGACGGACACTCTTTGAGGCTAGCTGAATCTCTTTTTGACTGATGGACATCTCTTGAGGTATGCTGAATCTCTTCTTGTGTGGGACCATACAAAGCGATCTTTTCAAGACTACAGTGGGGCCTCGACTTACGATAGTAATCCATTCCCAGAGACGGATCGTAAGTCGAAGCAATTTTTCCCATAAGAAATAAAGGGAATTGAATTAATCCGTTCCCCACCCTCCAAAATATTAACTTACAAATACATTTTATACTGAATACAATTTTTTTTCTAACTACAATACAGTACAGACGTTTATCTTACCTTGATGGAGGACCCTTGATGGCATATGGAAGATGGTGATAAAGGGGGGGGGGGAGTTGGAGGAGAGGTGTTGGTGATAAAGGGGGGGGGGGGGAGTTGGAGGAGAGGTGTTACTGTTTGGAAGGGGAGTCCCCTTCCATTATCACATCAGGCAGTGATGTTTTCTCTGGAGGTACTCTCTCTCTCGTTCGTTTTGCCTGCTTACCACTAGGTCCTGGTTGTGGCTCTTTGCTTGATTTTCTCCCTTTTCTCACAAGGAAATGTTCCATTGAAGATTGTTTTACCCTTCTTTGCAACACTTGTCTGTAGTGAGGCATCACATTGTCATTAAAAAAATCAATGCAATGGCCTACTACAGCTTTATCTGGCACTTATCTTTTGCCACTTTAGCACTCATAATGTCATTTTTCTTAGCCAGTAGGGTGGATATCGTTTACTGAGATTTGTTGTACTGCTTAGCTAGTTCAACAACCCGCACACTATCTTCATATTTACGAATGATCTTTTGTTTTGCTCTATGGTCATCCTTACATGGGTTTCCATATGTTGAACCTTACCACTGACTTTCTTGGGACCTATGGCGTGATATATAATAATTACTTTTATGTTTAAAAAGCAAAAATCACAACAAAAACGGAATTTCTTATAGGCGTGATCGTGACTAAGCGGGCAGCTGTAGTAAACTGAGGCAGATCGGCCCGCGTGACCGGGAACCCCGCGCTCAGTCGACCCGAATGTGTACCAACAAATATCGTTAGTCAACGACACCATTGTATGTCAAGTCGCATTTTTCGATCAAATTTACATCGTAATTCGAAATTATCGTAAGTCGGGGCAATTGTAAGTCAAGGTGCCACTGTACCTTATAAATTGATCTTTTCCTATAATCTTTTCAATACTACCTTATGCTTTACAAGCTTGGCTACATACAATCTACAAGTACTAAAGCTAAGGGTGTACGTGAGTGCGTTATTTGCAAGCACACAGAATGAAGAAACAGGAAGCGAAAATTTATCTGTACCTGGTGCACTGAGAGCGAAGTCACACTGTGTACCATGGGCTACTTCGTTGATTATTACTCACTTCCAAAGTACTGAGTGTGTAATACAGTGTGTTACTGTGTAAATAGTGTGTGAAACTGTACATATTGTAATTTTAGTGAATTTTTAACAGGTAATATTGAAACAAACATTTATTGTGGACACATTACTGACACATGTATCACAGTTCCAGGGAACATTATGAACGTTCTACTGTATACATATTGTAAAGGACACAAAAATGCATCATATACGATAAAAAAACCTAATAAAACCGCATTGGAAATATATAAAACAAATAATTGAAAAATATTTGTGGCAACACCCGGTGCTTGAATGGCCCGCGCGACCGTGTCTGGGCGATTCACCTATGGGCGACCAGGCCCTGATGACGTCAAGCGCACCTTGTCCACGTCCTCACAGCCAAAGTATGTGGAATTTGGTACTTATTTTTACATAGACATGTTTAGGGAAGGGAATTTATCATTTTACGAAGAAAAAATATTTTTTGGGGAACACTTCATGCGCATCGGGGGAATTTCACAATAAACTCAGCGCAGCATGGTGGTTAAGGGTTAAACTAGGGATGTAGAATCAATGGGCATTTATACACACTTCAAACACAAGAATGAAACACGTGGGGACTGGCACAATATTTTTGCATTGGTGAGACTCGAGACACAACCAAAGTGCATGCATTACATATATTTTATCCACAAATAAAGAGAAAATACACTCAAGGAAAAATCTCACTCACCAGGTAAACGAATACAGTTCTGTTCACTTAGACATAAATGGAGGTCAATAACCTCACACAATGAGGTAAGTACCTTAGGAGTACACACCACACAACCTTTGTGTGTGGCGTCTCAGCCCTCCCTCTCAGGAGTGCAGGGATATTCTGCTCCTCTCACGGAAATGTTCAGGAAAACTTTACACAGAGAATCATACTCATTCATTCATACATTCTCTCAAACACAAATTAAATATAAAGATTAACACAAATAAAACAAACTGGTATTTTAGTTAAGAGAAACATTACATTAACAACCACAAAAGCTAAACTTTATATACCAGTAATTACATTGTTTTTCTTGGGGGGAGTTCTTGATCTATGTTTGGTCTTGGGTTGCACTTTTTTATCAGTAGGGGTCTGTGTTGGGGTGCCTCCCTTTCTGGGTGTCTAACTCTGATCAATAGCAAACATGAATATTCTCTTGTACAAGGGAGTTTTCATAGGTCATTGCTTCCTTCGCCTCTCTGAGGGGACCAGGTTCTGGCTCGTGGTTCCCGATAGGCAAGAACTCCGATGACTGAAGCCCCAGACTAATATAGCTAATATCAGCCCGATAGCTACAGGGAGCCAACAAGCCTCCCCTCAAAAAAACCTGTGTAAGTGTCAACATATATGCTGAAATTGTCTCCATATAGATACACTATAAATAGGCCTATACCACCAACACTAATACTTTTACAGTGGTACATCTCTGGCCTCTTGGTATCAACTGTTCAATTTAATAAAACTGTTAACTTGAAAATCTCATATTTAAGTTTCAAGAATATTCATTATGAATTTATATACAGGAGCTCCAATAAATTATCTCTCTAGATCATCTCTTTTTTCCTGTATTGATATGGATGTGTGGTGAACAACAACTAAAACTTAACCGGTGTGCCAAGAGTTGATTTTCAGTGAATGAATCTACGTTTACCCTGGAAACAAATGCAAGGCAACTCCTTTGGTTTAACTTAAGTAGAAAACTTGATTATCCAGTGGCTAAATCCAATGGAACTTAATACAGAGGGCATTGGAACTTTTGTTGTACAACCTGTGTAGCTCAGTCAGTGAATCCCAGTGGATACACATTACATCTCTTACCTGTTGAATCTGTCGGAGATGACACCAATGATGACGCCGGCGGTGGTGAAGACAGCGACGAATGCTGGACCAGCCAGCACCTGGTACTGCAGCCCCAGGCCAGAGTAGTCCCATACACAAGTTGTCTGGTTGTCACCCTCCAGAAGGTCATTGCAGCTGCAACACAAATACTCAGATATTGTAAGACAATACTGTAAATACAAAAAAAAGTTACATTTTTTAGTGTTGCAATAATGTGTGACAATATTTAATGTGTTGCAAGGTTTGGTTATCATCAATAATGCACCGCAAAATCCAACACACAATTAATACAATACATTTAATGCAGAGTAGAGGCCCAAAGAGTAATAAATAGGATATAACTCAAAAATACCATGATTTAAGATAAGTATTATTAGGTTTACAATGCAACTAAATTGCTTATGAGTACTGCATTGCAAAATTTTGATATAAAGTCCACTTTCCCACCCTATTGTTTTATTCCTCATTCTCTTCAACCACATTTCCTCTCCTCTTCCTTCTCCCCCACCCTCTCCATCTTTCTCCTCTCTCTGATGGGAGAAGGGCCCCGGGTTGGGATCCCCACCGGAGGGCCCCGAGTGGGGACCAGCACCCGGGGGCCCCCCGGCGGGGACAGGAGCCCCCGCCAGGGGGGGGGGGTGTTATGGTTCCCGGGCACACCAGCCATGGTCACTTGTCTCCTCTTAAGTCTTACTCCTCGTGTCAACAACCATCTATTGCGGCTCACTTCATGTGTTGTTTTTAGTTTAGTTCATTAGTTCGTTCACTCGACAACGCTGTCGTCTGACGCGGTTGAGGGACACTCGACAACACTGTCGTCTGACGCGGTTGAGTGCACGCTACGCTCCTCACTCTAAGCTGTATATCAGCCCTTAAACTATCGCCAGATGATGTAGACCGCCACCCACAGGCAGCTAAGTACATGGAGTCCAAGCATGTTATAGCAAAACCAAAGTAACCGACCAAAATCAACTCATTCCATCTCAAATAAGTTTCAAAACAATCCTCTTCGGCTGTGAGTACCAGTGCATGCTGCCGCCACCGCGCTGCCTGACGCAAGTTTCTTCACAAAATATACCCCCAGTCCATTCTAACCAATCATGTCTCCTAAAAATATGACTGTACAGGGAAATAAGGACAACAAACCCCTTAACAAGGCATCCATCCCGGCCAACTCTAATAATATTCGTGTTTCTCCGTCTGGAAGCTCTGGGGTCCGGGGCGACGGTGCTGCCCTCCCCTCCACCCCATTGAGCAAGTTGAGCAAGGGAGCAGAGTCCTCTCAACCCTCTCCTATGGACATGCTAGCATCCCAGTTTAAGCAACTCAAGCGAGCTTCCGGTCCTTCAAAGGAATTCACAAACTGGACCGAGAATCAGTGGTTCAAAAAGTGGTGCCTAGTCCTCGAGTCTCAAAATACTATCATCTTGAGTCTTCTAAATGAGAATCTAGCGAACCGCGCTAATCTCCAACAACAACAACAAGAAATAACCCCTCCTCCGCGAGGATATTAGAAACTGCAAGGCTAGCCAAGACCAACTACAGCATGATTTGAATGATCTCCGTGAGGAAAACAACCTTCTGAAAACTGATGAAGCCATGAAAAAACAGGAGGAAGCTCTCAGCAAAATGACTGCATGTATCAGCACATTTTCAGCCCAACGTTCCGTCTCCCAGGATGAACAAGACCAGCAAAAGCTACTAGACTCTGTTATCGTGTCATCCCAAGATATACCTGTGGAACATGACGGTGAAAATTGTGTCAAAATAGCTCAGGATCTCTTAAAAAACAAATTGCAGCTCTTCCTAAACAAAACTGATGTTATTGCTGCCTACAGAGTAGGCAAAAAGAATCCATCATGTCAAAACCAGCGGAAAATTCGCCTGAAGCTGTCTTCCCAGTTCACGAAATCCCATCTAGTCTGGACAGCTGCATCCCAACGGAAGGGATTATACATCAACGAGTGCTTGACTAGGAACAGACAGCAACTCCTCTACCGCCTGCGTCAAATCCGTCAACAAAACCCAGAGGCGATTCATCAGTGCTTTGTTAGAGATGGACTGATAAAGGTGAGAAAAACCGCAGAGGGCAAAATGTTCACAATTACTAAAGAAGAGAACCTCAACACTTTCCTCTCCCAATGTGGTTTGTCTCACCTCATTATCACTCCCAGTGAATTAACTTAATTAACCCCCTGTCAACTAGTGGGGCTAGGTTTCTCAAGTCTCCTTGTTTCATTTTCTGACTTAATTTTTAACTTACTCTTAACTAGTCATTTACTGAAATTATTTAATTGAGTGCATTAATAGTTCTTCAGGTCTTATTAATTATAGTCATAACTGAACTATTTATAGTTAATAATCATTAGCTTAAATTTGCCTATGCTTATTATTCAACTTTTCTTTGATTTCATTTATTACCTAGGTTGCCTAGCCTCGCCATGCTCCCTTACTCCATTGTACCCCTGGCTTTGCCTGCATCTCAAATTGCAAATTGTTACTTACAGTGTACCTGAGAGTACTTGTAAGCAATCTACCTCATTTTTCATTTTTGCTCAATTTGTTTTTGTATTGCTTAGTCTTGTTTATATTTTTGTTTTGTATTTCTATATCTTGTGTTTTGTATAGTCCATGTTTATATGTTTTTTCTTTAATCTCATTTATTACCTAGGTTGCCTAGCCTAGCCATACTCCCTTACTCCATTGTACCCCTGTAAGCCCCTTTTGTGTTTGTTTTGTACAGTATTGTGTACATTTTTTTCCCTATTTTATAGCTTATTTCTACCTTGTAATTTGCCTTTCTTTCCTTGTTTTTCCTGCAATCAGCTTTTTTTATGCAGACAAGTATAGACCCAGAACTTAACCTCTTATCCACTATCTATGACAATAATCACTTTAATGATCTAAATTGCAGATATTTTGCAGCACATGATGTAAACAATGTATTAACTCATAATCACAATATCTCTGTAATCAATTTGAACGTTAGATCCCTAGGTAAACACTTCGATGATGTTAGTGCCTTGATTGAAGCTATTGACAACAAATTCTCTTTTATTATACTTACTGAAACATGGTTGAAAGAGGATACTACTCAACTCTTTAACATGCCTAACTACTCAGCAATTCACAGCTGTCGTCAACTTCAGAGAGGTGGTGGCACTGCTCTTTACTACCACCAAGAACTAACATGCTTAAAAGAAATTAGAACTAGAGACTGCTATGGGGAGTATATCTTCACCAGCTTCAGAGTCAAGGGTGCCGAGTCTGTCCTGTCTGTGGGTGCAGTTTATAGAATTCCTAACACTGATGTGTCCGAATTCAACTCAAACCTTAGAAATCTAATACTTGATAACAGACTGAACAAAAACCACCTAATTATCGCAGGGGACTTTAATATTGACCTCTGCGAGCCAGAACACCCTACTGCTGTTAGCTTCCTCAACTGTATGAATTCCTGCTTCCTCATACCCTTAATCACTAGACCTACTAGAATCACTGATAGCACTGCCACGACTCTAGATCACATCTGGACAAACATAACCTCTCCGCTTACTTCAGGTATAATCACTGATATCACTACAGACCATTACCCCACATTTCTCTTAACTAACATTAGCAAACCACCTCTTGAGTCAAGAGAGATACGTTTTAGACTACACAATGAAACTGCTATAGACAATTTTATAACTGCTGCTGATAATGTCAACTGGGAGTCCGAGTTAGGTAACATAGAGGACATCAACCTAGCAGTGCAATCTTTTCTTCAAAAAACTCTTAGCCTTTATAATACCCACTGTCCTATGCTTACAAAACAAGTCACAACCAAAAGGCTTAACAATCCCTGGCTTACAAAGGGAATACTTAAATCTATTAATAAAAAACATGACCTTGAGAAGAAGTATAGGTTAGGAATTGTCTCCAAAGAATTCTCAAAGAATTACTCATCATTGCTATCTAAGATAATTAGACGAGCCAAAACTAAATACTACGAAGATAAATTTACCCAAATAAAGAGCAACATTAAACAAACTTGGAGAACAATTTCACAAATATTGGGTTCAAAGAAGTCTTTAAATAACAAACCGACTCTCCTGTCTAATAACGATGGTCAGCTTTCAGCCTCTGATTCTGCTATTGAGTTCAATAGGTTCTTCTCTTCCATTGGTTCATCCCTTGCAAATGATATTCCATCTTCCAGTACTGACATTAAGGACTATCTTACAGGTAACTATCCACAGTCTCTGTACCTAAAGCCTATTAATTCCACTGACGTCAATGAGATAATCCTTAGCCTTAAAACCAAGTCTGGTGCCCTTGAGGAGATACCAACTTTAATTTACAAAAAAAACTCCAGATCTTTAGCCCCTGCTCTTGCTTTGCTCTTCAACAAGTCACTTGAACTCCAAACCTTTCCAGATATTCTAAAAAAAGCGAGAGTAACGCCTGTCCACAAATGTGGTGATCTCACAGATGTTAACAACTACAGACCTATATCAATCCTGCCAAACTTGTCAAAAAATTTTGAAAAACTAATCTATAAGCAGCTTTACTCATATCTAGCCAAACTCAATATACTTAGCCCTTGCCAATATGGCTTCAGACCCAAAAAAAGCACTAACGATGCACTTATTAGTATGCTTAACTCGATTCATACAGCTCTTGATAAAAATGAGTTCCCTGTTGGGTTATTTGTGGACCTGCGTAAAGCTTTTGATACTGTCAACCACCAAAACCTTCTTCTTAAATTACATCATTATGGAGTCAGAGGACACTCCCTACAATACCTCAAATCCTACCTTACTGACAGGCTCCAATATGTTTCTGTGAATAATACAATTTCTCCCACCCTACCCATGAACATTAGTGTTCCCCAGGGCAGCATACTTGGCCCTCTCCTCTTTCTCATCTACATTAATGACCTTCCAAATGCCTCCCAACACCTCAAACCAATTCTATTTGCTGACGACACAACCTTCATTTACTCCAGTCCTGATCCCCTTGCTCTAAATGCCACAGTAAATACTGAGCTAAATAAAGTCCATCTGTGGCTAACTGCCAACAAACTCACCCTTAACATTGACAAAACTTTCTATATTCTGTTTGGCAATAAATCCTCTAATCAAATAAATCTC